CTTTCCCTTTCTCTTCCTCTTGGGACTTTTGAACTGTCGTAGCGAGCTGCGCGCTGAGTTTGTCCCAAGAGAATCCGGAGCCAAAGTCTTTTGCTTTGGTAAACAGTTCTTCTATTGAAGGCCCTGCAGCCTCATCCTTCTCTTGAGCTTCTTCAGCTAAACTTGATGCCCGAGCTTCTTTCTTCGAAAGCCTTTTCACCTCTTCTTCTTTTTTCTTTGCTGCCTCCGCAGCCTCGCGAGCTTCTTCCTCTGCTTTTGCCTTTGCTTGTGCTTCTGCATAAGCCGCTCTTCTTCCATCCTCAGGAATGGAACTAATTAAGAGCAACAAAAATTTTTCTTCCCATTACAATCATTTGATTTCAATATCGAAACTCGCTTATATATATACTTATTGCACAATATACTTGAGTTTTACCTGAAAAGATCGCTTATAGGCCTTGAGGGAGCTGATGGGTTAGTGAATACTTCTACAACCTATCAAGTATTAAGAGGTGAATAAAACCAGTACCATTTTAGTAATGAGTATTGAGTAAACTAATGTTCATATTTGAGGGGGGGGGGGGGGGAAACACACACACACACATAAACAAAGAATGGAATCCAAAGTTAAAACATAATTTATTTATATGCCACATTAGTGATGCGAACAAATTAAAATGTTGCTAACAAAATATATATATATATATATATATATATATATAGTACCTTGTTTTCTGCTACAGCTGTGTTAGAGAAAACATTGGCCACCAATGATGCAATCTGAGACTTAGCTACCTGGTTTTATTTAAAAAAGAAAAAAGAAAAAGGAATTTAGTCCACCCTAAATTTATACGTGCACATATTTTTACAAGGAAAAAGAGAGAGAGAGAGAGAGATTATAATGATTGATGATTTAGTATATACATTACTGCATACATTACATTACTTTGTAGTCGTTTGCATCTGCGCTTCCTTCGGCTGATACGACAACATTGTAGGCACTCTCTGGGGAGAAGTCGTCGGTCAAACTCGTCTTTATGAAGGTGTAGCTGACATTCGTTTGGATGACTTTCTGCAGGAGTTGTTGGACGCTCAACTGAGATCGCGAGAACAGGTTGTTGAAGAATAAGGAGATGCCATCCAGTACGTTGTAGGTTGACACGGTGGATGGGTTCCCATCGTAGATGATCGCCAAATGGCCAACGCCAGCCAGTTCGGCAGCTTCGATGACTCTAAGAGCGTCCGATATGGTGACTCCCTGCGTGGGGCCATCCTCACCAGGGCCTATTGTCACCACGACTTTGCTGGCATTTCCAATTGCTTTGGCAATGGATTCGGAGTCGTCAAATGTGGATTCCACGGCGTTTAGACGTCTTGATTCTTCATTTGATATGATCTGTCGTGTTGATTGGAAAAAAAAAAAGTGTCGACTAACAACCAGTAAAAGATTATAACTTTATAAAGCACTCTGCCATCCAAATTTTCCTTTAGAACAAAAATATCTATCATGAAAAAGTGTGTCCTAGCCCGATATAATAACAAAATGTGAGAAGAAAAGGTTTTACATGATTGCACAAATGCGCCAAATATCATTGTGGTCACTACGGATTTTGTAAGCAGAAAAGATGGATATCCACAAAGTCTAGATCCGTCCAATTTTCTTGTTCCATTGGTTGTCTTTTTAGTACTGATTTTTCATGTCATTTAAATTTAACAATTTAATAATAAAATAAAGTACCAAATTTAACCAGAGGGACACCAGAGGGACACCAGCGGGATAGAAAAATGGAGCAACATGTTTGAACTGATATTTTGAATGCTTTATCACTGATTTTTAGATCAATTAAAAGTGCGACTTAAAATGGTGATTTGGTCCATGCGAATAGTCATATAAGTAATTAGTTTAAAAATCAGCTTTACATGGAATCTCTCACGTAACTGCATTACTAGTTTTACCGTGTTTAAAAAATGTGGTGTTCTATATATCAAGAAAAAAGCAGCCTTATTCAAGAAAAGCATAATTTATACCTTGTATTTGGCAGCAAGGCGAGCCAAGTCTTGGGCAGCGCCGAGATCAGAAACGCCAGCTCTCACGGTAAAGCCTTCACGCAAAAGATTCTGCGCAATTCGAATACCGGCAAGCCCAGTGGCACCGGCAACAAACACAGTCCCGGCATCCTTACTCCTGGCGCTCCCAAACGACAACCCCGAAGCAGGGTTGCTGACAACCGGGATCAGAGACTTGACATCGGGAACTTTCCCGAAGTCGAACTTAAAAGGACTCGAATTCGAATTGGCATTGTCTTCAGCTTCGGCTCCAGCCTTTTTGGTGAAAACTCTCAACCTCTTGGTTTTGATTTTGATGTTTAGCCTTGTGTTGGGTGCTGAGGTTAGAATAAAGGAATTGGAGGTGAGAGTTGAAGCCATTGGAAACCAAAAAGGGAAGGAATGAACAAGGATATATATATATATATATATATATCAACTGATCATGTTTCTCTTTCTCTTCCCTCCCAATTCAGTTATTTTTTCCATATCCATTCCATATCAGATTTCAGGCTACCGATTATTTTCTCATTCATACCACGGGCACCACCCTTGGCCGGTTGCAATTGAAGTGCCCTGTGTCTGAATATTATCTGGATATCAATCTTATGGGAATTTCGCAAATGAGATTGTGCCACGTAGTGCAGTCTATCTACTACGAAATAATTGAACACCAGATGTTTTTATTGAGCACAGTTTCGGTGCTCAAGTCCATAAAGGTTTATCCAGCATGCAGCCACAGAAATTTTTTTCATAGGGAAACAGCATGGCCCACAAATTGACAATTATGAATTAAAACTGCATTCTATAGGCAAACCCACCATGACTGTGATTTCAACACACCGAAGGGTGAAAAAGATTAGAATCAGTCACACTCGAATGTATTTGCAAGAAAAATCTTTTTATTTTCTTTTTTTTAATTTTTTAATTTTTTCAATTTTTTGCAAGAATTTGCAGTCTTGGGTTCAATTTTTGTAGAACAAACAACGAAGGAAAGAATCCTAGCAAGGTTCGAGGCAAACAGTAAAAATTTGCCTGCATAAAAGATACACCATCTTATTGTCGACATCCCACAGAAAGACAGAACATTGGAAGTCGGAACAAATTAGGAAACTCCTGAGATATACAATGTTTGAGTAAATGCATGTTTACCAATTGTCCCCGTATAATATTGACTTGAAGGATTAATTGCACAACATCTCTATGAATTATGACTTATGTAACACTTTACTCCCAAATTATGAGTTTGGGTTAGTGACTTAAAGTTTGACTTATGAATTATGAGTTTTACCTGAAAAGATCGCTTATAGGCTTTGAGGGAGCTGATGGGTTAGTGAACACTTCTACAACCTATCAAGTATTAAGAGGTGAATAAAACCAGTACCACTCTAGTAATGAGTATTGAGTAAACTAATGTTCATATTTGAGGGGGAAAAAAACAGAGAGAGAGAGAGAGTTCAGGTGGGAAAGCAGGAAGTCAGCAAGTGTTTATAAAGTAGAGAGATGCGAAAAGATATTTTTTATTGAGAGAGGATTGACCTACAGACACTCGTGATGTTTTGCTAAAAAGAACTGTGAAAGATAGAAATTTCACCTGAATTCATGTACAAAAAGCGGATCGTCATATCTGCTCAACCATGACTAGTTGACAATAATTTCATCTACCAATCGATCATAGAAACTCATTTTAGTGGACGTTTAGTTCACAGATTTAAAACCATGAGTCAGAACAATTCTCAATTTACGTATACTTTTTATAAGAAAAAATACTATAACGAATCACGAGCCATATTTCAAACCATAACACGAATCCACGTACCAAACACCCTATTAGTCAAACACAACAAAACACACCATCAACACCTTTACGTTAATCGTGTAACAGCTAAGGCCAGTCACTCATATGACAACAAAATCAGAGAACAACGATAATTTCATAATGGATACAACCAGATCAAAAATAGGAAAACAGAAACAACAGTAAATAGCTTCCACGTTGATTGTAAAACAAATCTAAAAAACAACAAATCAAATTCCCGACTGAGGGAAGACGATTATTACCAAACAAATCTAGCAGCAAGGCCTGCATAAAGTTGCACTCAAGAGATAAGCCAGGAAATCCTCATTATCCATTTCAACTGCCAGGAGTAAACACGGACTACATTAAACAGAATAAAATATTGAAGAACTCTCAATCCAACAGACTATTTCCCTAAAACATCTTAATGTAACAGCTTAATACGATCAGAAAAATAACATGACACTTATGACAGCTTAATATTCCACACCAGCAATTACTAAATTCAGTGACTGACACCCTTCTTCGCTTTAAGTGATTCCAGAGCCTTATTCCGCAACACAATCTCAAGCCTTTTCTGCTCAGTTTCCTTCTCGTCATTCCCCCTTGTACGAGATTCCCTCCTTTTGCCATATTCACCATCTGAAGCAGAAGCATCACTTTGGTGCTTGCCTCTCAGCTTCTCTGAGCGACGCTCT